ACAAAAGTGATGGTGAAATATTTACCTTTAATTCGGTTTTTCCTTGCAGAGTAGGTGGAAGCTTGTAGTTGCCCAGATGTTTTCATCTTTAGGCAGCGCACCAGAAACGGGACAGGACAGATGTTTCATCTGTTCAGTTAGCGGAAGCTTCCCTTGTAAGGTAGATTCAATGATTGGCGGAGGTATTAATTTTTCCAGACTCACTGTATGAAATCATTATGATTAGAAAGGTAAATACAAAAGGCTACACTCAACAGCGTTCAATCACTTAAATTTCAAAAGTGTGTGTTCACTGCAGAGTAGGTGGAAGCTTGTAGTTGCCCAGATGTTTTCATCTTTAGGCAGCGCACCGGAAACGGGACAGGACAGATGTTTCATCTGTTCAGTTAGCCAAAGCAAACTTTGTAGTGAATACAAATAATGGGCGACAAGTTTTGATTATGGAACGTGTTATTTCTGCAATAAATACCATTCCCTTGTGGGTCATTTCAAAGAGAAGCTCTGGATCCAAAAATACAGTTTGGAGAGTGGATCTGGTTCTATTGCCTTTAATCACTGCTGAACATCGCTTTACTAATTTCAAATAGCAGTGAAATGAGGTGTCAAGACCTGAAGGTGAATCCCTAGTGTATAAGCACTCAAAAAGTAGATAACTTTCTTGTATTGGGATCAGTTTTGGTTTAGACTGGGAGACTTCTAACAAAGGATTCAGCATGTTGTGCTCTTATGATTTTCTTTCTTCTTTTAAGATGTAGGCCACGGCAACAGTAGCACTACATGTGTAGTTCTTATTTTATAATAAGTGAGTTAATAAACTCTTCCAATTGGCAGTGTTTTTGCATAAAGGCTCTATACCAGGTACCACACATAAAACACACAAAAGGTAATGGGCAAAATTCTGGTGGCAGGGAAGCGCTTAAATCTAGGGGTAACGGGACCAGGAGAGATGCCCTCCTGGGACAGACAAGATCGAGTGGTACCGGGGGTAGCCACCCTGGACAGGAGTTCCGATAGTCTCTGGGGTGAGGCCCATATCCCCCAGTCACTAAGAACTAAGGGGAACCAGGAGGGGTGGCCCTCGTGGGTGGAGTACAGATCAGGTGGGACCAGCACTCCACACCCTGGAGTGGATATTTTTTCAGACCTGTCTCCAAGGGCTAAGCCTTACTGTGGGGGTAAAGTGCAGCTAGGGGTTGCACTTCCCTGCCACTCCTTTTATTGGGAAGCAAGACAGTAGTTTCACATCCCAGGAACTTAATGAAGGAATGAGACTTAGTCCAGTATAATACCATAATATAAACGACTAATCTTTAAGATACACATAGATGTAGAAGAATAAAATAATGATCTGCTTGAAATATGTTCTGGTCGTGCTAAATATATAGTGCACATAATTAATAATCGAAAGAGCTAAAGATAGGTTCCAGTCAGAACAAAGGGTGGGTGGGATGGAAAAAACGCTGTTGTGAATGAACCGAAGCCCTAAGAAAACTGATTCAGAAAGGACAGTGTATATGATCACATGCTCATCATGCACATCCGAGAAAATGTGGTAATCACGTGACCGTCTGTCTGCACCACAGGGAAACCAATGTTTACTCTCACACTTTCTAGCTAGGTTGGGAGCCCAAGAGAAGACTAATTGCACACCAATGTTGTGATCAATTGACAGCTGGCAAAACAGGATATCTACTGACCAGTATCACCTGACCGTACTGCGGGCTCAAGTGTCGACCCATCGAGGTGGAGTACTTTTTTTAAGTTATCCGCTGACAAATCACCAGTTTCAAATGATCGTAGGCTCAAGTCTATTTTTTCCAAAGATTCATATGAAATATGTTGTGTTCATGCCACTATGGCCCCGCACTGTCAAGATTTTGATTTCAAACTGACCTTGGACGCAAAAAATCAGCCAGCTTTTTAAAACTACAGGCGGGGAAGACCTTTTCTTCCATGGTTATGTGTTGGTCATGCTCTACGTCCAATTTTTGTACTCTGATTGGTCAAAATTTGACAGGTGAGTTCATATGGAAAATTTATGCAGCATCTTGAAAGTTGTTTTACTCTGACAGCTGAAGCTGACAGACTTTTGTGTCAACTTGTGATGTTTCTACTGGATGTACAAAATGAAATACAGCTACTATCAAGGGTCTTCTGTTTTCCATGGCTGGTTTGTTTATTGTGTTTTTGGTTGAGAAATGCGTCGCTTGTCAAAATTGGGTAATCCGATTTCAGATGGCATCGTTTTCGTTTTCACCTTGCTTGATGCCTAAGAGGGTTTAAAAGTCTCAAGCAACTGTGGCCTTCCTTGATATCTTTCAGGAACTGAATCTCGAATAGTAAGCCTGAGCAATTATTGTGTTTGATGTTTGTTTTTGTTATATCTAATTTCATGAAGTCGAGCACAGTTTATGCGGCAAGTTTTTGCACGTTTGTAAGATTTGAGTCAATGATCTGGCCTAGTATCAGGTTTGAGATATATTTTCTCAGGGCAAATAGAAAGAAAACGTTCCGAAGAATATTTAGTCGTAAATTTGGCTGTAGAAAGAAAACTTTGAGCGATTTTCTTGCTTCAAGGAGTTCATCTTTGAAAAAGGCAAACACTGGCTGGCCGGCTGAAAGTACAACAAAATAAACTTAAGCTTAAGCTTCAGGACTCAGGATTTTTAGAGACACTTTAATACTTGTCTTTGTGAATGAAAATTGTTGTCTCTGTAAATGTTTCACCGAATTATATTTCTTTATTGATTGTTACTAGTCTCTTTTGCAATTTTAATCGCTTGTCCATGGTGTTTGTTTTCAACATTGATGAACATTGCTTGCAGGAGTACTTAAAAATGTTGCGCATATCAAACGCTTTAAAAGATTACACATCATTATAACTAAAACCATTAAATAACAAAAAATAATGATAATAAATTCGTGATTATGTTGAAACGTATCTCTGTTAAAGATCATTCAAACACTCGACCACACTGACAGCTCGCAGTAGAAATGAGAACCGGCTGGCCGTATGGGTGATTTTGGAAATTTTTTGAACGGTTTCGCTAAAAGCCCCCTTTTGATCGTCCTGAACATTGACTAAGTGCAGTTTGTCTTGAAAAATTGTGAAATACCGTATTCTGTCCGAGGTCTGTATGATAAATAGTACTGTTTCACCTCAGATGTGATGTATAAAAAGTATAAAAGGTTGGTTTACACACCCTCAGATTTGTTGGCAAGAATTTGTAAAGTAAACCTGTCGAACGCAAAAAAAGTCGGCCTGATTTGTTTCCCAAGAATTTGTTTTCGAGGCCTAATCTACTGTGATCAAGAGCCATTATGGCTCTTGAATGTGATCAAAGATGTTTGCTATTTTTTGGGGGTACATATATTTAGGCTATCAACTCGATGTAACATGTTTCACTCTAAAATAACTTGTCCTTTCCCTCAAAAGTCACATGAATGTGGCCTTACGTTAACTGATTTCTGATTTCAAGTTTATTGTTTGATTTAACATATAAATTTATTAATGGGAGCTTCGCTTTTAGCCCTGGCTAAATCTATATATGTGACCCTCCACAGGATTTCCAGCATAATGATGATGACACGGGCACGCTATTTTAGCACGGTAGACAAAAGAAATTTTCGTTAACACAGTAGCAGCGTGTCACGATGCATGCCTAATTAAAATTTTCTTTTGTTCCATATAAACAATAAACCGTGTTCAGGTTAAACAAAGAAGCGTGTTAAAGGATGCGAAAACAAAAGCCGTGTCATGCCATGTCATATTGCACTCTGGTGTGCGAAATACCCCGTTTGGGCCGTGTTAAATAATGTTAAGACCCAGATCAGATCAGACATCTGTAAGACATTGCACGTGCGAAAATTATTCTATCTTCAATGAAGCAAAATCACGACACGCATTCGTAACTTATTTTTGTCATTGAATCAGTGATTCATGTTGTAAATTTCACCTGTTATCTTCCAATTAATCACAAATTGTCACATGAAACTCGTTTTTCTTCTCTCAAAACACGGGAATTTATAGCAAGATCACGAGCACGCGTTCGTAACTTATGATCGAATTGGCGTTTTATGTTGTAAATTTCACCTGTTATCTTCTAAATGAATCACAAATTGTCCCGTGAAACCCGTTTTGTTTGCCACATTCTTATCTCAAAAGACGGAAATTTCGCGAAATAAATAACAAGATCGATTTCACAATCGAAAATATTGTACTGACTGACGGCTGAAATTAGGCCATAGCCGGGAAAACATTATAATTTCCAGCTCTGCAGTTAGGTCCTTCTCACGGCATGAATGACAACAACATTTTCAGCTTTTGTTATCCGAAATAAATTCCTTTTGCTGAAATTAGGCCATAGCCGGGACAAAATAATAAGAATAATTTTCAGCTCTGCAGTTAGGCCCTTTTCACGGCACGAATGACGACAATATTTTGTTTTTGTTATTATCCAAAATAAATTCCTTTTGCTGAAATTAGGCCACAGCCGGGACAACATAATAAGAACAGTTTCTAGCTCTGTAGTTAGGCCTTTTCACCGCACGAATGACATTTTTTGTTATCCAAAATAAAGTCCTTTTTATTTACTTTTTCGGAGGTAGGAAAAGGTTTAAATCACGTTCGAAAGACAGGCTTCGAAATCGGCTTCACAAGACCGTGTTGTTAGGGTCTGCCGTGTTCTGAGGCACTGTTACCTCTTCGCTAATAAAAACTTTCAAACATCTCTTTTCTGAAAGGAACTCTCGACCAAAGAAAATTGTTTGTTCCTCTCATTTTGATGCTTCAAATTAGTGAGCATTGCTTCTGCTTCAATCCTGCTTCAATCATTCTGTTGCGGGCTGAATGTTAAGATCCCACGGGAAAGGAATCAAATTTCAACTGCTAACCAAATCGCTCCCGACTACGTCAGCAAAATACAGTTGACTCCCGATAACTCGAACCCGCGCTAACTCAAACCAAAGTCGATTTCCCCTGGATTAACTCGAACCTCCCGCTAACTCAAAGTAATTTTTGTTTTTTCAAATTTCCGAAGGAGCGTCGACTCTAGAAAAAGGAGCTTTAACTCATCCAACTGCCGATAGCCATTAGACCCAGAAGTGTTGCCGTTAGCCAATTCTTCGTCTGTAAACAGGACATCTACGCAGGCCATAGCCGTTGTAATAATGTTACTTCCAAAGGAAACTATTGATTCAACCTTTCGCCGGTGATCATCTGTGGGGCCATGACTGCTGTATCTGCGCTGCACAAATGGGGCGTTCTGATCAATGGTGGATAGCGGTGATCGCAGAGATGGTTGGAGTGAAGGCGGTTGTAGCATGGCTGCACTGGTGACAACTGCCAAGGGAACGCTCTGAGTCAGGCTTGGTGGCTGTGCGGGTCCCTCTGGTGGTGTTTCTGGAACTGGCTGATTACTGGAAAGTTCCGCTTCAAATGGCAGGACATTACTCAGTGAGTCCATGAGGATGTCTTCGTCGTTTAACTGATTGTTAGGCACTTCGCCTTGGTGTCTGTTCTTCAGGGCAGTAAGATCGGCCACGATCTTAGTCAGCTGTCTGATTCTTCAGATCTTCCATTACATCTGGAAACTCGGTCTGTACAGCCACTTCTGATTTTTCGAGGACGTCTCGTCTGTCACACTGAATGGATGCCATTTTAGTTGTTTTAGCTTTCTCACTGTTAATACGCTGCTGTTTTAACCGGGCCTGTTTTTCATCTTGCTCTCTCATGAATTCATTCAACATCTGCAACTACAAATTTAAAGAAGTGTGGGCGGTTAATTAGGTGCAATAAGTAAGGCTGCCGTTTTAACCTGATTTTAATACTGCGCGCGCGCTTTCCCTATTGTCTCGTCAGAATTGCCGAATTCAGCAGATAACAGAACGAAGACTGGCTGTGAGTTTATTTTTCGCATAACGTAATGTCTCTATACTACAGGTACGAGTAAGATTTGCAATAATGTGTTCTTTCCAAATATCTCATGTTAATAGCTACAAGAAAAGCAACTGGACGCTCGTGCTGGGTACTCACAAGACAGACAAAACTAACGCCCTGTCCACGCTAACTGCCTGTTTATGCCGCTAAAAAGTGGACTCCCTAAGCTTTAAAAAGAGACCAAATATAAATCTGCACGGCGAATATTCACGGACTTATTATTTTTCGAGGTTTCTACATGTACGTTCCCTTATGAGACCATGCACTAATTAAATTTTACGCAAAATGATCTGTGCGCAACTTCGCACAAAAACACGAACTTCAATATCTCGAAAAATTTGTTAGTATGTAAAGTTAGTATTTCAAATTCTTTATGCAGTAGAAGAGTTTAGTTGACTATTTTCAAGGTACTTTTCGCTTATGCAATCGAATTTAGTTCAAACTATTTTTCGTAAAATGCGGTAATTCATGACATTTCTAAACAAATTGAACAGCGCGCGCGTATAGGTAAAATCTTTGCTCGTTGGCACTTAGCGTTAACCATAACTATAATAATAACTAATAACAGAAACTGGTAAGGGGTTGAACAATCCCTTATGAGTTTCTGCTAATAGTTGTGAATATGAAAAACACAAAAACAGTAAAACCAGTGAAAGAGTGGTTACCGATCGTTTCGATACAAGTTAATTCAGTCGAATTGTAAGAATTTTCACGTTACTTGGCTTACAGGAGGAAGAATATTCAACCCAAATGTTTTCCTCTTTCACGCGCAAGCTATACTTGAAGTGATCGAAATTTTTGAATAACTTTAATGCTTGAGGTCGTGTCAAAACGACTTGTATCGAAACAACTTTGTCCATCGGAAAGACCGCGATTTCCCATAGCAAACATGTTAACAGAATAAGTGGCGAATTGTAATTTTTCTTTTGTTGAATCTTGGTGAAAAATTGTTCGACATTACAGTCTTACCTCGTCACTCGAAGCTTTTCGTTTTTTCGACGTACTAGCATCCTTATCTTCGTTGGTTCTTTTCTTTCCAGGAGAAACCGGTTCGGGTTCGAAAAGCTCTGCGTTCATCTCAACGAAAGCCCTTTCCTCTTTATTAAGGTTATCTTGGTTATCTAAAAATTGAGAAAATGCAATCGTTATAAAGCCGTAAAGGGCAACAACAATTACATGTATAACAAAAACTTAAAATGCAGCGAAACATCCGTTAGATGCGTTATCAATGATCGGGAAACAGATCGGAAAAGGCAACGCTACTTACCACCTTTCGCAATAACCATAGCTTCCAGTAGCTTGCCTCCACTTTTGACCGTAACCGCGTCTCTCACATTTGGTGCAGTCTCCGAAAACAGCTTCCCTGTCTCTTTCGATCGCATTTTTTTTGTTTCAATAATGCATGTACCTTTTCTCAACAGCAAAATACAAAAGACACAGTTTTGGAACTTTGGTAAGGTTGCCTAAAGCCATTGTGAACGTGTAGTAACAACCTGGCACAAGGCTGTAACCACAGTGAAACTTTTTTTGCTCGTGTCAGGTTTTTATGCCTAAGGAGTAAGTGATTTATATTCTGTCAGTAAGCCAAACAAGATTACTTCTCCGGTCTATTGTTTTGTTTTAGCTACCCCCAACAATAGGTGCGATAACTACGAGGTGCAACTGTGATAAACAATAGCATTTGAAGAAGGCAAAATTAACAACTCTTTTGGCGGCGGAAGGAAAACTGCCGTGGTTATGTCCACGCGAGTCCATTAATGCGTTTAAGGATAACTATACGAAAACAGCACTTAACGTTTTATAAACCTATCCAGTCTCTTAATTAGGTGTTCACGAAAACATCCGTTTATGATCGTTCACGTGTAGACGGCAAGGTCGAAAATGCTAAGTTTGCAAGCGTTTTATAAACTCACATCGACTTGTTGCAAGATTTTTTTCTTTTCATCTTGTCGAAAGTAGAAGTACCTAACTAAATCAACGCTGATTCAGGAATCAAGAGCTCAAAAGGAATTACCTTATTTTGATGTATTATTCTTTAATTACAGTTGATTAAAACTTCTTGAAAAACAACCAAAAATGAGGGCGGAGATCTAAAGCTCTTAACTTTTGTATCATTACGCGTCCTTTGTATGGTTCATTGTTCAAAGCCTAAGTGTCGGTTTATACGTCCACAAGTAACAAGGATTAAATAAAAACTTGAAAGAGTAAACACTTAACACTTTTTAAAACTGGATTTTTTTTTAGAAGCGTGTCCCAAAAGGATATAAAAATTTTCTGAAGTACTAGTCTTCCAGGTATTTCTAGATTGACACCACCGTACTAAAATTTACTGGCTTGACCACAGTGTAGAACGACAGTGTAGCAAGAGCCTCAAGGGGTTTTCAGAAGGCAAATCTAATTAATTCAGCCGAATTAAATAGATGCTACCGAAAACAAACCAAAAAATAAGAATGAAAAATGATTTAGCCACGTATTCTAACAGGAATCCCGACTCTCCTGATTGTTTCAAACGTCGCGCTACTGCCATCTGCAAAAGTCAAATTTAATTCGTTTAATAGAGTATTTTTAAGACTAAGGGGTGATTACATGAGACCGGGACGAACTCAGACCGGTATGAGTTTGTATTGGTCTCCATACATTTTTTTCATGCGTTTACATGGGACCGGCCTAAAAATGAACTCAGACTGGCCTGACTTCGTGTCAGTCGCTGACCCGACACGAGTTACTTTCATACCGGTCTGAGACTGTACCGTTCTCATGTAAAACGGAATCGAATATCAGACCGGGTACATAAATAGCATATTTCTTCATATGGCTCGATCATTTTTAGGTTAGGACAGTTAGTGAATGATATGTTCACTCAATAATCGACTTGTGTAAGTTAATTATAGCTCCAAAAATCTCCCGTTTTCGAGTTTGTACCGGTCTCATGTAATCGACCAAGCATTTCGTCTCGGACTCATGAAAAGGGCTGCAAAAATTACAAATTCGAACCGGTTTAAGTTCGTCCCGATCTCATGTCATTACCCCCTAAATCCTAGAAAGAGGTTGTTAATTTGTGTATTTCATCGCGTGCAGGCTTGTAATATTAAACCTCACATGTCGTAAATAACAATCAGCAATACCGACGTAAGTTTCATACTAAGGGAAACGGGGTAGAGAGCACTACAAAATAAAAATCTTGTTACTTTGTTAGAATTAAACGTTTGCAGTCTAAGAAAAGTGCTGCCTTGTTTTAAAATGTGGCTTCGGGCTCGAGAAACAATAGTCACACTCTTGTATAAAGTTGACAAACCCTTACATTTTGTTTAATTACCTACACAGAAATCTTCAACTACATACATTACTGTAAAAATCGAATAAGTAGTCACTGCATCTTTTTAAAGATAATTTTACAATATTCTCAATTAGCTATCAGTCACTCGCAATAAAGTTAACAAGTTCTTAAACAGGTGGAGCAACCAAATTTTCGGTTCCGTCGCGACAAAATTCTCTAATCTCTTTATAAAGATACTCGGCACGTTCCCGGCTGATGCCTTGGGGATTGATTATGTCGGGTAGCTGACCAGGTTGCGGAAGCTGATTTCTGTTTCGGAGAAGGTTAATGGCCTTTTCTTCCAAGAACCAGTATTGCTTGCAAAATACAGTTCCTAGGAACTCCTTGTCGAATCGAAAATGAAAATATGATTTAATGTTAGGTAATTTCCTATAGAATTGTCTTAGGTAAGTGGCTCAATCAAATGTAGGCACACGAACTGTTCTGTTGTGTAAGCCGACAAACTCGGCAACGTTAACTGAAGCAGATTCTTCGACCGCTCTGCCAATGTCAAACAGAGATGAAATAAAGTTACGTCTTGTCTTTTGCTTGACCAAACCAAAACACCAGTCAGGGGCAAACTTTGTGTGTTAGGGCAATAGAAAGTCATGGTTTATACTGCTGTGCAGTCCATTGTTTACACGCCACAAATAGTACCACAAAAACGCAGAATTTTTGTTTTGGGTCCCGCAGTTATCTGCGTGGACTTGAGCGCGAGTCTCACCTAATCCATGGTGCTCGAAGAAGTAATGAACGTAGGAGATTGTGCTATTTGCTCCTTTCCCTGTCAAAACGTTTTCGTCAGTAAGAAAATTGACTTGGCGAGGAATTGCTTCACAGCATACACCAAAGAGTCCACATTTTCTTGGCGTTTTAAAATAGATTGGTCCTGGCTGGTTAGGATTTGCGGGATAGTGCAGCTGCTGTGCGTAGTCGTACGAGTAATGTACTGTTCCTTTGTATGAGCAAGGTCTCTGTCCGAACGCAAAATCGGCTTTTTCAAGATGTGCTTGGACGCGCACTTTCGTTTCCTTGCATGACATTTTGTAATATTCTTGTTCTCCTGAGGCCAGACGGAGATGTTCTTCTTGTTTTCTGACCACATCCACTTTCTCTGCTTCGGGCAAATTGGTGCTTTTGTTAATCTGACTATTGTTTTTTTGGCATGTCCAACATAGGTCAGTTGCAGGCCGCATAATCAAAATAAAGGG